TTCCTACCGGTACAGCAGATCTCCATGGCAACTACACACACTACTTACACACTGCTGTCTCTGCACATGAGATTTGCAGTTCACTTATTTATTAATGATAATAATAATAATAATAATAATAATAATAATAATAATACATTCGTTTTATATAGCGCTTTTCTAAAACTCAAAGATTTGACACATTGACACGTCTCCATCGATCTTGGAACTGTGGGAGTCTGTTTGTAGATCGACTAATATCCGTCACACCACTACCAGTTAAGTATGGAGGGGATTGAACAGTCACTAATAGTGTATGAAAGAAAGATGTTTTACTATGAAATATCGCCCAATTTCTTTCCAGATTTTCACTATTCTTTGATGTCAGTTTAACAGCCTGTGAGCTGCCATCCTTATCTTATCAGAGTGTGTGATTACAGTGAATTTAAAAAAAAGAGAAGATTTAAGCTCGTATGTAGTGAGTGATAAAGAGTGTGAGCTGTTTGAAATGTGTATCACCACATCAGTGCAGTGTTAGGGTAAAGAGAAGCTGAACACTCACTTCTTGAGGGCTGTGATCAGGTACATGCTCCTGGGCATCAGCAGGAACACCTGGTCTGTGAGCACGGCGTGGATGATCTTCTTGGCGACATACTTTGGATCCAGGATGGGCAGCAGAGTCGGCCACCTGATGAAGATGAGGAAGAGGATTACGAAAAGGAAAAACACAACATCTCTCAGCTCTGAAATATTTACCAACCAAGCGGTAACCTCCACTGTTGAAAAATAAAACCAATGTGTCCTGCAGTTCATCAAGTGTCCACTTGAGGGCAGGCCGCAGAAGCAACAGGAGTCACATACTTATTTGGTTCGTTTTAGTTGACTTGGGACGTTTCTTGGTGGGGAGTTGGTGTGATTTCCCCGGCCAATGACAGCACACAGGTGAACTTGGAATTCAGCTATTGGATGTGATTCAAACTGGCATATATGACGGATGCAGATGCAGCGACAAAGAAGAGATAGTATAATCATAGTATGGTGAAACGCAGCTCGTTCCATACAGGGGGGAACCTTAGGGGTGATGAGCCTAGAAAGAAGGCCAGTTTGAATGTTGTGCTTACAATGAAAAATGCCACTGACTCCACCTTTTAATTTTCTTAATACACACAGTTGCAAAATAAAAAAAAGGTATGTCCTACTCTTTATGTCAACTTACTGAATTCTTGTTGTGAAAAATGAAAAAAATGTGTACAACCTGAAGGGGGAAATCCGATTCTGAAACAAAAACCCTAATCATGCTAGAGGCAGCACAGACGACCAAAGACTAGTTATCTGAGACAAATAAAAAGACGTAATATATCTGAAGTCATGAAATGACCTCGGGGCGGTGCTGTGATATCCTGTTTACAAGAGTGGGATGGACATTTTCCTTCAGCTACATTTAACCTTATTAAATCCCATCAGGTCATCTTTGGGTCCAAATGGACGTTTGAGCTCATTGAAGATATTGGTGAGGTGTTTCTGAGATGTGGCCTTTACAGGAACAGGACAGACAACCTGAAAACACGAGGCCTCGGGCTGAACTGTCCCTGACGCGCAAACTTAACGATTACAGAGGTGAAAATGTGTCCGTGTTGGTCTGTCACATTTGTGCTGTAAGAGAAGTTGTTGAAAACAGCCCCCTCTCCACTCATCAGAGGGAAGTTTCTTTTTTTTCTTTTTCTACGTATTCATCCCCCTGACAGGAGCGCCGCCCCCTCAGGTGTTCACTCTGACTGTGCGATCAGACTTGGCTTTTAAACGAGATAAAGTTCTGTTATCTGTCATTTTCAGCCTGTTTAGCTCAAGGTAGTGATGATGACGGTGACATCACACATTTCCCATCGTAACCCCGCCCACCTGCAGCCTGAGCAGAGATCTATCGAACCAAAGTAAGACCTTGTGCCCACCTGGCATTTTTTCCAGGCAGAAAAGCGCCGACTGTGCGCTCGGGATCGCTTGGATGAATCGTTGGCTCACTGAGAAGAACAGCGGCGCACGTCCGTCCTGTCTCTATGACGACGGTCTGTTGACAATGGCCGCTTTATGATGGACACTCCTCCGTTACTTTTTACTGAATGTTTGATATTTGAGATCCTTTATTTTCGCGATAAGACACAGAGCAAAGAGGATGTGGTTACAAAACACAATCTGTAGGCGGCAACACTACGGGGAATATCTTACATTTGGAAAAGAGCACCGATAACGTCAACAGTGCCTTTCTGAAAAGTTGGACGATTTTTAACTTGAGCTCTCGCAGCGGACGTTCAAAAAGATGGATCGCTCGGAAAAAAGACGCCAGCATCGCGCTTTTTACTCAAAGCAGCCGCCTGCTGCTGCGAACGCTCTCTCCTCGTTAAGTCAATTGAAAAAGACGCTGGCGCTCAGACTAAAAAAAATGCTAGGTGGACACGGGGCCTAGCTGATGACTTCCTTTACCAAAGAAGAAGAAGAAACTTGGTTAATTTGATAAACTGATTTAATTCTACATAACAGCACTGTAGTTATGTAAGAACCAATATTTCCCACCTTCAGATTATCTTTGACCGCAGGAAATAAACGTCTGAAAAAGGGCCGAGGTTCAGTGAGACAGAATTCACACGTCTGTAAAAAAACACTTGAATTAAGCCCCTCAGTTTGAATCAGGCCACAGCGTGTATGACGTGTTGGTTTAAAAGGACCTCAGGTAGAGATGTGAGGAGCAGGAAGAGACAGGACAGGTGTGTGTGTGTGTGTGTGCGTGCTGACGAACACTGTGTGTCCGCAGGGTTTGAGGGGGGAAGGGGGGGAAAGGGGCTCTGGGTGGATTTACACGAGGAGACAAAAATAAAGACCTTTAAAATAAGACACCTTTAAATCTGGACCCCAGGATGTCCAGAGAGGAACACGGAAGGAAACCTTTAGTCCATCAGTTTTCTGTCAGTAGCTCTGATTACATGTTCAACAATTCTCACTCTAAATTACTATGATTTGATATTCCAACATCGAACATAATCTCTATTTACAGTTGTGGCGTCACAGGGGTCTGGATTTTCAGAATCTGAAATGTTCTGGGTAACGTTTGCTGTATATTTGTAGCCCGAGCTGTATTGGCCAATCGCGTACCTGCATGGCCTTATTGTATGCAGGAAAAACACGCTTATCCACGCTACTGACACACAACACGGCAATACACGGTATTAAGAACTAGGGTATGTAAACTTTTGATCAGGGTAATTTGGGTAGTTTCTGTTGTTATGAGTTAAAAAGAGCAAACCAATTGTTTGATAATAAATGGCTTCACCCAACGACTAACCATGAGTGAAAAAAAAACATTTTTGTACTATCATTCATATTCTCTCAAAAATGACCAAAACAATCACAAATTCTGCCAGGGTATGTAAACTTATGAGCACAACTGTATCTGCATAAAGGGATAGATAACAATCTGTTCTAAATAAAACAAAATGACATTTGAGCCACAGATCTGCTCGATGTGTCACAAAGCCAATCAGCGTTTAGATTTCCTGACTTCCTTGAACGCATCAGAAAAGATCGATCTTAACTCTAAAGTGTTTTTTTTCTGCTGTTAGGGACACTCACACTACTTTCTACAAATCAGTGTCATGATGGTGTTATTTCATCAATCTTAATCCTTTCATTCTGTAAATCACAAGAACATCTCGTTCTGTTTGGGCTCGTGTTGCTGACGTGAGCCAGAGTGAAGCCGCTGTATAAACTTTACTGTTGACCTGAGGCTCAACAGATAACGGGTGTTACTCCAGGATGTACAAAGACATGATGGCGTTTACCTTGCAGACTTAAACGCTGCACAAACAATGGAAGTTGTTGAACGCTAACTGCTGTCTTCACTTTTTGTGAATGTGCATCTGTTCACAGAGGCGCGCGACATCTTTCAGTGGGTGATAGATGATGATTCAACATGTTCAACATCATGATGCAGATTGTGTCAGGTCTGTCCTCCTGACTTTTAAGATGCTTGTTGATTGGAGGTCAGACCTGCATTTAAAGTAGTCAGGAAATCTAAATGCTGATTGGCTTTCCTTGACACGGCGTCAAGCAGCTTTGTGGCTCAAGTTTTAATTTGTGATGTATTACTCATGTCGACATCCGTCTATAGAAACATGAATCATCATCAGAATACTGTCAAGAGCCAGTATGTCATAGGCGCGAATAACCACTGTTTCACCTCCATGCACCAAAGCTTGCTGATACGTGATTGGTCAATACAGCTCGGACTACAAGCGTGCTAAGAGCAGAAAACAAAACATGCTGAAAATCGAGACCCATGTGAACAGAACCTACAGGTCCTTGTAGAACAGATGTGACAAAGCTCATAATAAACTATTTTAAAAAAATTCCATCTGTCCTAAAGAGCGCTATATCTCTGAATCTCAAAGTGATATTAACACAGACACTAAAGTGATTTTAAAGGACTTGAAGCCCGACACATCTGGCTGTGGATGTTGTGTTCAATTAGTTGTTTTTTTTTTTTGTGGTGACTTTGACAAACATTTGATGATTAAACTTGTTTCATGTTTAATAATGAATTAAAAGTATTTTAGATTATATCAGTATGTATGGTTGCTCTTTTTTTGATGCCCGTCTGTGTCCAGGACTCTCTGGTTAAACTCAGGTCAACTTTCAAATAATAAACACAGTCACTCTTGAATCAGTTATAAATTACAAATCTGCAGCTGTAACCACGGCCCCGAGGTTAGGGTCCAGCAGCTGTTTGATAACACATCTGGTTAATGAGCCAGGTAAACGTTTACCTACAGTAGAATGAGTCCCTCCTCAAACATGTTGATTATAATTAAAACACCTGACAGAGCTGCATCACGTCTGCACATCGCCAGCACAGACTCCATACAGTGATCCTGTGTCAGAGTCAATGTGTTTGGAGGAGGTGGAGAATGAGCTGCTTCATATCTGTTGTTCTTATCTTCAGCTCTGGTTAATGTGATGTCTACTCTGCCTGCAGGCTAAACATTTCTCTTTCTGTTATCACGATGAGTCAAAGACAGAGGTTACAGACGATCAGAGGATCAGCAGCATCCTCATCTACAGGTGGAGACGAGAAAACACGGAGCAGCTGTCAGTCATGATGAGTGACAGGATCTCCATGGGAGGGTTAAAGGCTGACAGAGTTCTGTGATAAGATATTTGAGACGTTCATTACCTGTGTGCTGATATCAGACTGACACTCTGCTACAGAGTGGAAAGACAGGGAAAATACTTTTTACAATAAATAAAAAGACTGGAGAGGCAGGAGTTCAACATCGAGAAAATGCGATCATCTCAATAACACTGAGCAGACGTTACCTTCAGGACACAACATCCAGACTACACAGAGCGAGCAGCTCTCTTTAATCCCTGTAGCTCCTCCCACGAGACCTCTTTTATTATCAAACTTTACTAAAGCATATTTTGTTAGCACTTAGAGCTTTCTAAGCTACCACATTCACACACGTAATAATGGCTGTAAATCACCAGTTTCATCACGATATCATATCGATTCTTTAGACGACAAAACGATATTTGACAATAACTCAAAGTCTGTCACGACATGATTTCGTTTTGATTTGATTCAGGAGCCTGCGACCGATTTCACACAATATTATGTACCAGTAAAACAACAATCAGTTACATTTCACGTCAAGAAAAAAAGAGCAACTTTGATGTTGTGGCAATTTGATTGCTGACTTAAAATAGCTTAGTGTCCAATTTTTTTATTTGTTTTCTCAATTATACTTTCCACTGTTTGTAATTATTATTTATTTTCTGTCTCTTTTATGTTCACCTTCTTATGTTCCATTATTGGAATAAACAAATCAAATCAAGAAACGATTCAGACATTTAAAGGTCACATATTATGCAAAATACACTTCACCATGTCTTACTAACACTAATCTGTGTCCCTAGTCTGTCTACAAACCACCTAATTATGAGAAAAGTCCATCTTCTCCATCTGTTGCCTGCTCCACTTTTCAGATAATGTAACCCCTCCCCCAAGTGGGTGACACTCCCACAGCTAGGTGTTTGTTATGTTCTCCGAGTCTGCCTTCTCACCGTAAACAATAGAGGCATGGAGCGATAAGGTTCCGAGCCACATCCCCTTCCAGAGAGGGGGCGTGGTCAGACACAGCTCATTAACATTTAAAGGTACAGACACAGAAACAGCCTGTTCTGAGCAGGGCTGAAATAGAGGTGGTTTATAGGCATGATCAAATACAGGATCAGAGTGGATTTAGAACAAGAAACTTCACACACATGTTTCAGGGAGCTCTGAGACTTATTTAAACATGTTACAAATAAAGACAATATGTGACCTTTAAATTTAAAACAAGCCTGCCAACCGTACCTGAAAACCATGCTGTCTTTCTGTAAATGTATTTCTCAACTGGCTGAAGAGGACAGTGGAATGTAAAAGACTAAGAAATTATATGAATAAATCATTTTGGGCCGTTCCTTTGGAGAGGCGGGAGGTCACTGCGGGGTCGGTGGGCCGCCACTCCAAAGAATGGTAGGGGGAAACACTGCCTAATAACAAAAGAAAGCAGAATAACAGAAAGAAACCTACTTGGTCTGACATCCGTCAAACATCCCCGTGTTGATGAAGTACGGACAAACGATGGTCGTCTTCACGCCGTCTTTCCCCAACGCCAACATCTCCAGACCCACTGACTCAGCGAAACCCACGGCTGCAAACTTACTGGCACAGTAATCTGCAGAGAGAGAGAAACATCAGGTTCACTGGTCATCACTGAATCTGGAGGAGGCGCAGACGACAGGTGGTTACCTGAAGTCTCACTCTGACAGGAAACATCGTGTTTAATCTCACCCTCATACCAACACCCTGATCTTAAACCCTGACTTATGATTAGAGTCCTTTCAAAACCAGAACTTCAAACTTTGAATTAAACTCAAACTACATCAATACCCGTTTGTTACCATGGCAACAGAAATACAAGTCCAAGGCAAAAATATGTGGTAATTTATTGATTTTAATTAGCAAAATGTAAAGTTAAACTCCTGCAAACCATCAACATTCTACATAAACATGTAGAAGGTCTCAGCTTCCCCTTCTCCCGTTGGACACGGTTTAGCGGAGAGTCTTGCAAGCCACCTTACTTTTTCGAAATTTGTAACGTTTTTTTGGTACTGAAACATTGACGAGTCTGTTTTGGTTAGAAAATATGACTTAAGATCTGTAGTTTCTTTAAAAGCTTCACTACTTTTTGAGACTGTCGATTAAAATAACAGATTGTATCGCTTTTAAAACACGTTATTGAACACGTTATTGAGTTTTGAACACTTCGCTAACCTTAGTTTGGACTTTATGATGTTTGGGCTCTGATTTAATAATGCTCTGTGATGGAGCGGCAGTCCTGTGTGCATCATGATAAGACGTGTGACTTCTAAATGTTGAAGATCCAGTTTAATGTTGGCTGTCATGTTTAAAGACTTTAAATGATCGTTTTTATAAACACTGTCTGACTGTAGTGGGTGTGTCACTCAAGCAGAGATTAAACTCTCCTTAATCTTATCAAACTGTCATGTTCCTCAGATCTCATGTTCACTTGTTGAACTTTGAACCATAATTATCTGTTGAATTAGTTCATATGTGCTGTATGATGGTGTGTTGACTTTAACAGTTAAAGAATCATTCATTTACAGACTGATTAAGAGCTCAGGTCGTCAGATGTACTCTTTGACTATCAGAAAATACACGGCTGCTTTCTCTTGACAACATTACTAACCTGGAGCGTACCTGCAGCGCTACAAGGCTCTGCTCAGTTTCAAATAAGCACCGAGTCTTTTTTATATCAAAGCCTGCTGCAAGCTCATGACAAGCTGAACAGAGTCAACCCACTCAGACAGGAAGTCAGACAAGGGAACGCACAGAGCGTCCGGTCAATTTCAAAATAAAACACATACATACAGACTTCCCATTTTATATGCCATCACTTAAACAACATTACGTCACAAAAGGCACCAAAAAAATAAAAGTGACTTTGTTATCTTTATTCCCGCGTGATCTTGTAGTTCTCCTGTGATCTTGTGAGATCAGCTGCTCATGGCTGCATCCAGAAACAGACCCAGTGTGGCGTTAAGGCTCCAGCGTAGTATGGCGGGAAACCGTGGGGCTGGTGACCACCCTCCACACTTCTTCTACTGAGTTTATTTGGTTTATTTCAAAACTACATGATCGACTGAAGGTTCACTTTCTATGAATCTTCTCTCCGCATTGACAGCTTTCTCTGACATGTGTAATGAGTTAATAGAACTACTCCTTAGTGAAGTTAAACATCTTCCATGAGGAGTCAGATGTTTGGTCAACAACAGGAAGTCAACAGAGGAGGGGGTCTATTTGTTGTTTTTATCACCTTGGTGGTGGTCAGGTCATAAACCTATCAGGGGTTATAAGTGATATTATTATTACAGCTGTTGGGATGTGTACTGATCAGAATACAGATGTTATAGGAGCCACATCCTGGTATAATAATACTGTGAGCAGACAGGTGATAAGGTGTGTGATAGATGTAGGTGAGAGGTGAATCAGAGAGCGCTAACAGAGCTGACAGTGAACTCTGACTTTAATCTGTAAAAACAAAGTTCATTCAGATTATCTGACAGCACACACTCACTGATAAGAAGGCATGTAGTACGGGTTAAATCAAGTGTGTATCGTCATACATGATAATGACTGTTGTCTGGGTGTGTCACATGTAGAGCTGCAGCTTCGTATCAGCACTGAGCTCACACTAAGCCCCTCCCCCTCCTGTTAGAGAGCATGTCCTGTCCAGACATAAACATTTAATCCATATCAGCTACGAGCTTCTTTTTAATGCAGCTTTATACATGTGTCTCAGTGAAAGGCGGCTGCTGGCAGCTTCAGCACCGTCAGGCGTGAAGGCGTTTCTTAACGGGTTGATGTTAAATTCAATCGGCTCAAAGAGCTGTGACTCAACACCCCTAACCACTCGTTCACTGGCTGGCTTTGTTGTTTTCATCCTCTCTGTCGCTCTTCTTCGACTTCTCTGGTGATTTTCTATTCTTCTGTAAAAGTGGATTTCTGTCCAAAGATTGGCCAGTAGGGGTTTTGATCTCTCAATATCTCACGATTTGATTGGTTTACGTTTCATGGGGTGACAATTTAATTCTCATTTTCTATATTAGAAAGGGGCTGTTTATTTCAGGATCTGCTCCAGTCAGCTGTGCACTTCATTATTTCAGTGTGAAATAAATATTTGACCCCAAAAAGATTGATAAAACCACTAATATTTGTAATGTTTTTATCAGCTGATTTCAATAAAGTCAATGAACAGAGGAAATCCTAATACAGAGATAACTTTTATTTATGCTCATCTTGTAAAATACTTTCAAATAAAAACAATTTTTTGGCTAAACAAAGCTAATTAAGTATTAATGGGAAACGTGCCATTGAAAAGATGCCATTAATTTAAAGCCTTATTGTTGAGCACGCTGTAGGAGAGCACCTTTCTGGCTGCAGATTGTCAAAGTGATGCTGTGTGCGTCGGTCAGCGGTTGTTTTTTAAATCTCCCTAAAGTACTTCCCTTTATTTTTGCAGACCTTCATATTAACAAGTCTTGTTCAAACTTCATGTTACCCTGGACATTAAAGAATCCACAGTGTGCTAACGATCGTCTTCAATGAAAACGGGTCTGAATGTCTTTCTGCTCCACAGACAGTACAGGCAGTGTGTTCATATGTGACACACACAGGAACTGCTATATATGGTATACTGTACGTTCAGTATCTGTAGGTTCTTTGGCTCTTTTTGATACTTTTGATCATTAAAATAACAGATTGAATCGATTTAAAACATGGGGTATTGGAAAACATCAAAGAGTCCTGTGAAGATCGACTTATTGTAAAGATAAATCTAAAGAAGATATATTCAGGAGTAAAACACACACACACACACACACACACACACACACACACACACACACACCTGCCAGTCCGTTGACTCCGATCAGTCCTGCTGAACTGGCGATACTGACCAGATGACCGTGGTTGTTGGCGATCATGGCGGGAAGGAAAGCTTTGTACATCTGAGAGAGACAAATGAAGATTAAATGATATGAACCTGAACGTTTTAATTTCATATTAACCATTCGATTTCTAAATTATCCTGATCAGAGTCGTTTTCAAACATGCACTCCTAAAATATGATTTTTTAAATTGTAGAATTCTCTGCCCCTGTAATCTTCCTGAGACCCCCCCCCATCAAACGAAACCAGAAGGCTCAATAATATTCTGAGTAATTATGATGATGGGAAAAAAAACGTTTTATTTATCCTTTATGTCTTCATATTAAAAAAAAAAAAAAAACATGGCTTCCTTTGTCATCCATTTTCGTTTTGAAAGCACCCCTTCATCCCAGTTTTGACCTCCAGTCGGTGAGTTCTGGTTGTGTGTATATCCTATTTTTACATATTAAGTGAGTGACTGACCCAGAAGTGAGCCATGGTGTTAACCTCCACCGTCTTCTCGATCAGAGAGTCCGGCGCGTCCATGAACTTCTTCCCGGTCACGATGCCGGCGTTGTTCACCAGGATGCCGACGTCCCCGACCTCTCTCTTCACCTGCACACGGCAAACACACACACAACACACACGTCTCAGGTTTCATACCATTTAAAATATTATAAAAATCATCTTCATGTTCATCTCGTATGTTTCTGGTCTTGAGCTAAATGTTCCAAATGTAAGTGACACAGAGAGATGTAGCTGTTGTTTATGTTGTGTGTTAATGTTGTTGTGTGTTGTTGTTGTTGTGTTATTTGCATCACAAAGCAGGACTCCTAGCAGCGACTAGTGATGCCTCATTGTTTCACTAAATGAAACTAAGTGGAATGAGCAGCGGTCAGATATTTTAATGAACATTTTTAGTTGTGGCTCTGACTCATGGCTGTATGTCTCAAATTATTTCAGTGGTGTTTGTTGTACTCGTGATGTATGATGTGATGTGCTGTCGATAATGTCTGTTGTGTGTATGAATTGACAAGGCTGTAAATGAGTTTCCCCACTGAGGATTAATTAAAGTTTCTTAATCTAATCTAATCAAAACAGAAAGAGGTTGAAAGGAACTTCAGGAGTTGATCTGAAAGATTATGTTTCAAACATTATTTTGGTATTTAATGGATTCATTTATTGTAATAATAGTTTATTTCTAACGTGCAGCCCTAAAGATAAAGTGTAATAACTTTACAAAAAGAGGAACAATAAAAGTTTGATCTGTTAAATTGTCACGGCTGTGGGGTTAACCGGCTTTTGAAACAAGGAGCTGTAGATGTTGTTGTTGCAGTTGTGGTCGGGATTAGTAATGACTGTTTACACAACATGCATCCTCCCTGCCTCAGAGGCATACACACACATACACACACATACACACACACACACACTACCTGTTCCTGGATACACCCTTGTTTACATTAACATGGAGGTGGACACGAGTCCTTCACGAGGAGATAAACGTTCAGAGCCATAAGAAGGAGGTCACATTGAGGATCGCTGTTTGAAGGTCTACTCGCTTGTAAGGGCTTAGAAACAAACCAATCAGATTGACTTATATCACCATCATGCTAAGCTACATCCACTTCTTAAACACAGTCTGTAGTTTTAATCAGGGTTGGGATGCAGCCAACTTTTCAGATGACAAAAGGGAATCAAAAGTGCTTCACATTTGACTGTACTCGTCTGTGTGGCAGGTAGGTTGAGCACAAAAACACCCACCAGGGACAGCAGGTAGCAAATTCTTTCCAACCCTGACTCACAGTGACATCACAGGTTTTCAGACGTGTGGGTTACGAGGACTTCATTCATCAGAAGCCTCTGAAGCGCCACAGAGACACAGATTTTAACCATGGAGCCGATTAATTCTCTGATTTTAATTCACTTATTTAATTGTTTCAGATAGGAAGTAGCCCAGTGTTTGTTTCTAGTATAGTGACAATAAAAAGGTGTTTATAATCAAACTTTAATATCCGTCTGTCCCGATTCTAAACTTGTGTGTCTGACTAACGAGTCAGGTGTGTGACAGTGAGCAGGACACACCCCTCTCAGGTCAAATCAGCTGTGTGCTCGGCCCGCTTCAATAAAAGACGTTTTAAAGTCGTATCCATCCCCGGTAATAAAGCTGCCGCGTCGTGTTTGAATAATGAATGAAACTGAAGAGGATGTGGTGAGAGCTGAGAGATGTTCCAGGTCAATAATCTCATTCAATATTCAACAGACGACTTTTATGATCAGAGACGGAGGAAACTTGGAGATGATATTATAAGGCATCTCACAGTCCTTTCTTTGGTATTTTACTTAATGAGAAATTTAATCTGAAACATTTAATACTTTCTTTATTTTTAATAAAAACAGTACAGTCACTGAGATTCATCACCGCCTCGTCTTTATTTACAATCTGCAGTTATTTGATTTATGGTGATGTTGTTGCAGTAAAAACAAAACCCTGCTCCTCTGCTCTTCAGAAAGTTGATCTGCTTTCTCCTCCTTCCAATCCAACTTGGAGTTTTTCATCACGAGTAATTCTTCAACTCCTTAATTTATTATTTGATTCTCCACTGACTGGTCAGTGTTATACTGTTTACATTATATCATATTCATCACATTAAATTCCTTCCTATATTAAAGCTCAGGTTCAGGACTTCACCGTCACACCTGCACGTCTTCAGGATCCGCTAACAGATTCATTTAAATTA